TACCAAAAATTCAAATAACCACAGTGATTCAACAGAGATGTTGCATGTGTTGTCCTGTGCATAACCATAGCCGAGATATTGCATGTGTTGTAGGATGCATAACCATAACCATGATGATACATAAATGACACATTATCCCCATAGACAGCCTGTAATATGCAACAAGCATGATACACAATGATTATAGGATACAAAAAAGTTTATCACGTAAGAGATGGTTTATCATGTTCTTGAATTTTAAACCGAATTAGGTGATAAGTAGAATATCTTCAACTTTAAATCAGAAAAAGTTGAAGATAAATAGATTGTCTACAACAAGCTAAGGGTATCAAATAGGAAGTGAAAAAGAGATGCAGCCCAAATGACAGAATAAGATATCAACAAGCTAAATTATTGGACGGTATACAAATCAACAAATCAACAACCCAAAATACAGAATAAGATACCAAAATCCAAGAAATCCATATTAGAAAAACGCAAAAATGGAGTTGAGCAGCCGATGCTATGTAAATCATTCTAGTAAGTAAAATCAAAACAAAGGGCATTGATCTGGACTTGACGGCCTTCCCATCTATGGATGGCAAAAATCCCTCGGGGACGGGTCCCTATCGGGTCCCCGACCCTAACGGGGGGAGATTTAGGGCCAAACGGGTATCGGGAATGAGGATCCCCGAACTTGAAAAATCCCCTACGGGTATGGGGAGGGGATGGTATTGGCGTCCCCATCCCCGAACCCACCCCTAAAATATATATGTTTATATTTAAATAAATAAATAAATAAATAAAATATTTTTGTTTAACCCTAAGTTAACCTCCCTATTCTAATTCTTCCTAATCTTCTTTGGAATTTCATATTGATTTGATTTTGAATAGTTGAGTTGAACTTTATAGTTAATTTGGAAGTGTTGAATAATAATTTGATATGAAACTTAATGTTAAAATGTATGATAAATATTTTTTATGCAAAAACAAATTGGGGATTCGGGCCGGGTATGGGGAATAGTCCCCCGATGGGAACGGGGATGGGGATTCCCCAAAACCTATTAAACGGGGATGGGTTCAGAGACGGGGGCGAGGATGGAGAGTGGGGGCGGGGATGGTATTGTCATACCCGGCCCCTACCTGACCCGTTGCCATCCCTATTCCCATCCCCCTCCTAGCCATCATTGCCCCACCTGGTCCGCCCCTTCCCACCCAAAACCATATGTAGACCCACCCAACACCCACCCAAAACCCAACCCAAATCTCATCCTCCACTCCTCACCTCTCATATCTCTCCTAAGAACCCACAACCATCTCAAATCCATTTTTTTTGTAAAATCAATATGCTTAATTTTTTTTTTTTTCAGATCTGGAACTTGGGTTTGGTGGATGTCGAAAAGAGAATGGGTAAAGAGAAAAAGGGAGATAGAAAGAGGGTGGGATGGGGGTGGTGTGTGTTGATTAACTCCTTATTCAGAGTCTCTTGTTTGTTTGAGAAAAATAGTTGTTCCAGTGGGGTCTTGATAGAGAAGTTGAAGAGGATGGGGTCTCAGTTAGATATATGGGTTTTGTTTGACCTGTTTCCATGTGAAACCCTTTAAAGCCATCTTTTAATTTCAACTATCCAAGTTTATTCAACGGTCTAGATACAAGTTCGCACTTAATGTTCTCATATAGCTGTTCTCACTTGATCCGACTCGAAAAAGTTAAGCCCTATACATTGCCCCTTAGGCCTTCTCCAACTCATTTGATCCTAAACTCAAATTTTCCCCTCTCCAAAAAGTAATTATTTGGGTTTTGCCTGAACTCAAATAGTTTTTTCCCCTCAACCTCAAATTTTAAGTCTGCAACTTTATTAAATTGTTTAAAAATAATTTAAGTCTAATTTTTTTTTTTCATGGATAACATTTCTTCATTTAATCTTTTTAAATAACTTCATAATTTAATTTTTTGAACAATTTAACCTAAAAAAAATTGAAATTCCCCAAATATAATTTTATTTGAGAAATAAGTGGTTATTTATAGAGTTTGGAGTGAGTTTTGAAGTTGGATTTGATTTATATTAATTTAAAATATTATTTTGACCGTTGGATTTAAATTTTAGCAGTTGAATGTTTTTTTCTACCTTTAAAATAGTTTAGATTTAATATGGATCGTTGGATTTGGGTATTATTGGAATAAGAAAAAAGAAAAAAAGAAAAAAGATGAGACAGAATCTGTTGCAACAGAGTGCGACACCTGGCGCCCATTGATTCCTTCTTGCACATGAGCTGCGTCAGACTTAAGTGGGCTCCACCAAAAAGTTTTTCAGTCGAGAAAATAGCTAGACTTTGAAGCCAATCCAGTGCAATATAATACTTCCAATAAGAACTCACAAGCATGGCCAGGCTAGCCAGCCACTTTCTTTCATCTTCAAGGACATGTATATAGTTACCTACACTGCGCATAATCTAAAACCTTTTTTGTTTCTGATCAAGACAGCCCAAGTTAATTTGGTAGCTTATCCAAACCTTGCTCAGTATTAATTTAATACAAAGTGGCAAAAACTGTAGCCAAGTCCATTCATGAAGAAGACAGTCCATTGAAGAATTATTAATCTATGATTTGATTCTCTCACCTCTCTCTCTTAATTCAACGTTGTCATGCTCTTCATTGATCTCTTTCTTAATGATCATATTATTGCATTGACTTGGACCAAAGTTCAAGTGACATGTGAGGGGATTTTTTTTTATAGTTGTGCTCTTCCACGACATGTGGGGGGTTAATATGCTCATTGCTCAACATAGTCGCCTTCATTTATCAGCACCAGATCAATTGGCTTGTGCTTATCATATAACTTAATATATACATATATATATATATATATATAAAGCAAAAGACAGAGAATTGCGAAACATTTAAAATATTAGAAAATGCCATTGGTTAGTTCAAACATTAAGAATTGAAATTATTAATTAAATAAGGATAATATGGTAAATTTATATTTTTTCATATTAAAAAAATTAAAATTAAAAACAAAATTAGATAATAGGTCATACTTTTATGGAACATAACTACCCATGCTATCTTTCCTTAATTCTAAAAATTAAAAAAAAAATCAATTGGTATATGCGTGAGCATGTGCCAAGGGAGAAATTATACAATAGTACGGTTATACCACGTCATCTTATGATACTTCCACTCAAATATTGCCACTTGTCCAATTTAAAAAAATAATAATTTGCTTTTTCACAGCTGGACTTTTACTTAATTTTCATATTTTATATAGAATTAGAAAAATAAAAATAAATTAAAAAGTACCATAGCCACCACCCCTCTCTCTCTTCTTCCCCTTCTCTCTTCCTCTTCACCACTACCACTATCAGTGGCCACCCCTCTCTCTTCCCCTTCTCTCTTTCTCTTCCTCCCCTTCTCTCTTCCTCTTTCAAACAATATCGTTATCTTCCATAGTGCCCCTACACCTTTCTCTTATTTCTCTCAGACCTAGACCTTTCTTAGATTGCCACTGGCCGATCCTGATTACCCAAGCATGAACTATTTTTAATTATCAAGGCTACTTCCCAACTATTATCATCAAAACCAGTTTAATCATCCTCCCTCTAAACCCAACCCCACTGCGTGAAATTAGTATAAGGGATAAAGAGAAAGAGGAAGGGAGAGGGACGGCGATCATGGCAGGTACTAGAGATTAGGTTCTTCAGGTTGGGGTGGTGCTGCTGTTGGGGCAATACTCTTATTTTATTTTATTTTATTTTAATTTTTTTATCAAGTCTTTTATTTTTATAATTCTATTTCAAAATATAAAAACTGAGAAGCCCAGCTGTAAAAAAGTAAATTATTTAATTTTAAAAATGAACACATGGCAATATTTAAGTGGGAGTACTATAAGCTGACGTGATATATATATATGTACTATTGTATAATGAATAATGCTACTCTTACCATATTTGTATACCACATTCTCATATCACCTTATGTGGCAGATGAGGTGGACAACACATCAATTAAAATTAATTTAAAGTTTTCTTATCTTTTATGATTTATTGACACTTTTTAATTATGTGATTGTCCACTTCATCTGCCACATAAGGTGATATAAAAATGTGGGATATAAATGTGATAAGTGTAGCATTTTCTCGTGCCAAGGGGCTAGTTAGAATAATATCCATTGCATGCCACTCTGTTCCTCAAAGGGTTATTATGTCTGCTCCCCAGTTAGATCTTTATGGTCTCGGTGGGAATCGGGGCTTTGTTCTGTAGTTGTTTCTTGTTGTTTTGTTCCTCATCCCAAAAATGTAGGATAGTTAATCTATTTCTGACCCAAAATCATTGTGGAACTAACGTTTGATTAATGGTTAGAAATTACCTAAGCATGCGTGCACGACTGACGTCCTTGCAAGATTCTTACGGGAAAGACTAATGCCGAAATGACCCCAGCTAGATAATTGATTGAATGAGATGAGTTCTGTTCAAAAACTGTGGTTCTCTTCTTACTTTGCCTACAGAATTTTTTATCAATATATTTGCTGAAAATATATACAAGTCAATCCAATAAATAAAGGGTGCCAAAAAACCTAGTATTGTTGAATTAGGATACAAAAATCCCTAATAATAATAAATAAATAAAAGGATATAAAAAAGGGTCTATATCAATATAATTGACACCTATTTGAGAGGAAAGTAATTATTAATTAAGGAAAAAACAAAAAATCAGAGTCTGTGATGGGATGGCCTCTCCTACACATCCGGTTTCAAAACGGAAAAATTAATTGAATTTAAAAAATAATGCAACACACTATATCGCCATTCTTTGTTGAATTTTACCATTTCAAGCGTTGACCCTCCATTTGAAAGCTCTTGCCACCCTTTTCTGCTACTTGTTATGTCGACATTCTTACAACACTCGAAATTAATACAGGGGTTTTTCCGAACCAACTCATTTTTATGGTTGGTTGTTTCAATCCCTCTCTGAAGACAAAATCAAATCCTTTTCCAAGACAAAGTCGTCCATGTCCACTCATGATTTCTTCACCATTATCTCTGATCTAATGCATCCCCTATTCCTGCATATCCATGATTTCTGAGTTTTAAGATTATTGTTTTGTTTAGTTCATGACCTCATTATTTTCTTAAACCTTTTTAAAATTTTTAAGTCTTTCCTTTGAAGTCAAAGACACAAAATACCCTACACTCTCCTATCCTATATAAATTGGCACCACCCCTTCAAACCTTCTCTCATTCTCTCACTCCTCTTCTTCTCTCTTGTGATCACTTATTTTGATTGATTTTGAGTACTTTTCTTCATATTCTGCCTACTTGTTTAGATTTTTAGGATGAACAAACTTAGACAACATAGTTTCTTGGCTTTCTTATGCCTCCTCCTTATACTTCCAACTTTAGTTTTCGGAGAGTGCACATGTGACGAAGAAGAAGATGGGGACCGGAACAAAACCGAAGCCCTCAAGTACAAACTGGCAGCGATTGCATCGATACTAGTTGCCAGTGCAATCGGTGTTTGCATTCCGATTCTTGGGAAGAGCATCCCGGCTTTGCACCCCGACAGGAACATCTTCTTCCTCATCAAGGCCTTTGCAGCCGGTGTCATATTGGCTACCGGGTTCATACACGTGCTCCCAGATGCTTTTCATAACTTGACATCGCCGTGCCTTAAGGAGAATCCATGGGGGAAGTTCCCCTTCACTGGGTTTGTGGCCATGGTTGCTGCCATTGGGACCTTGATGGTGGATGCCTCTGCCACTTCTTATTACAGCAGGTCCCACTTCAAGAACAATAGGGCGCAGCCTGAGGAGAGCGTCGGCGATGAGGAGAAGGCTGGAGAGCATGAGGATCACTTGCATGTTCATACTCATGCAACTCATGGTCATGCTCATGGTTCAGTTGACACTTCACCTACAACACAACTTCTTAGGCACAGAGTGATTTCACAGGTACTTCTAATTTTATTTTGCTTAGCAGAGAGTGTTGCTTTTTGATTTGTTATTTATGTTGGTTTATGTTTAGTAATTAGTGGGGAATATTGATTGATTATTTTTGAACTTGTTGCAGGTTTTGGAGTTGGGGATTATTGTGCATTCTGTCATTATTGGAATTTCTTTAGGTGCTTCTGAAAGTCCTGACACCATAAGGCCTCTTGTAGCTGCCTTGACCTTCCATCAGTTTTTCGAAGGCATGGGACTTGGTGGATGCATATCTCAGGTAATTGCTTTGCATACTTGACTAATCTATAAGTTCAATTAAGCTCTGGAAGATGCTGAGAGGATTTTTTGTTTTTCTTACTTTTTGTAGGCGAAATTCAAGGCTCGAGGAGTTGCAATCATGGCTCTGTTCTTCTCTCTTACAACTCCTGTTGGAATTGCAATTGGTATCGGAATTTCAAACGTTTATAAAGAAAACAGCCCAACTGCCCTCATCGTTGAAGGCGTTTTCAATGCAGCATCAGCCGGTATCTTAATCTATATGTCCCTTGTTGATCTGCTAGCAGCTGATTTTATGAACCCAAAAATGCAGAGCAATGGAAGACTTCAAGCTGGGGCTAATATAGCTCTTCTTCTTGGAGCTGGTTGTATGTCTCTGCTAGCCAAATGGGCTTAAACTAAGCAATATTGATAATTTTTTGTTCTTTTTCTTTGTGCCATTTGCTAGATTGTTTTTTCTCAAGTTTTGTGTTTTATTTCTCCATAATTAGCATCAAATTATGTAGTTTAAATCTCAGAATTCTGTGTTAAAGAAAAGCATTAAGTTGATGGTGTAGTTTCTTTACAATTCAATAGAGAAGTGTTTGTTTTTTTGCTAAAGAGTCAAACATTCAATCTGAACCATTAGTCTAGTTGATTCCTTTCCCATGCATTTGCATCAATGTCAAAGGTCCACAATATTGTAATTGGAAAATTGAGAGGAAGTGTGCCCCCCCTTTTTTCCAAAGTGATGGAAAAAGTCACCAGAAATTTGTAATGAGCGATTGAAAATTCAAGTCCATTGTAACAAAAAGGAACGCAAAAGAAATTCTATGCTGAACTGACATGTAGGATTGAGATGGTTCTTGGCCAAACCAATACTTCCAGTTTCAAAACTTCAAGATTATCATTATCATTGCTGACTCTTAAACACCTTGCTTTTTATTTTTATTTTTATTTTATGGTGATATAAAAAGATATTTACATATACTGGTCAAGGTGTATCTGTTTGGACAAGAAGTAGGCATTTACATTGCTTTGCTCCTGGCTTTCTTCACATAGCTTTCTTCTTGGATGATATCGTCAACTTAACATAAAAAATAATGAATTTTACAAGAAACAACTGCTGTAACTTTTCTTGAGTAAAAACAAGATGACAAAAACTTTTCCAAGTTTATGAAGGTAATTTATCACTCTGTTTGCTATTTATTTTTTGAAGAATCCTGGCCATCTATGTTGCTTTCTTTACTTAGCAGTTAGCGACACTGTTTCTTTAACTTGCTTACATCGATCATTCGGCTTCACCTACCTCCTCTCTTCCCATCACAATCTCTCTGATTCATGAATCATTCTTACAACCAGGCGATATTCTAAACTACTCTAATTTACCGGGGCAATCAAATTTGATGCGAGTTTTGATTTATTATATAGATTATATATTTCATATAGTCTACAACCATTGGCCCATTAATATAATAGTCTTCAAGAAGGCCCACTCAAGAACAAAGCAAAGGTTCCAAAGTTTCCAGCAGGCTGCACCAAGATTCCAAGTGTCCAGCCTTTGATACTTCGGTCCCCAAATCTCAGTGATTGGACCATCTGTTCCCACTTAATTAAATATTGTGCTCTCTTTTCCATCAACAGTAATCAAATGTAATTTTACAATAGCTTACAGTAATAAAATAAATAGATCTGTTCTATGAATCTCATCTATTTCTAACCATTACAAAAATCTAAGCTGAATTGACATGCAGGATTGAGATGGTCCTTGACATTGGTGGCTCTTAAACACCTTGCTTTTGATACTGATATAGAAATTTCCTCCCAATTGTGTATCATTTCAGGTCTATATTCTTGCAAGCTTAAGAGTCTTGTAAGGCTTGTTTGGAGTATCTGTTTGTTTTGTTTTGCTAAAGGTGTCTGAGAAGTGCTTTTGGGTTGTAAGTTCTTTGGCTCTTAACCTTGCATTGTGTTTCTCTGCTTTTGTCAGACAGATTAAGCCAAAGAAGCAAGCAAGCAAGCATAACAGAGGGACAAAAGGCAGCAATAAAACTTCAATCACTCAATTGAGCACCACCAGCAAGAAAAGAATAGTATCAAGAAATGGATTTTTTATATTTAAAATAAGGAAAAGTAATATCAATATTATTAAGATATTATATGTACATGGAATCTTATTAATAAATTGATGCAGAAAGTGGGAATGTCAAGATTTATGGTGAAGTTTGTGGACAACATTCATGGTACTACTAGCTAGGATCATCTGCATATATTTTCTGCGCTTCCGATTCCTGACTTCCCAGTTTACTAAAACAAAACTTCAGAAAAAGAACCAAGCAAATGGTGAAAAAGAAAAGAAATACTTATTCTGAGCTTACTAGATGCCTAGTTTAAGCCCATTTGGCTATCATAGACATGCAACCAGCTCTAAAGGAAGAGATATATTGGCCCCCAGCTTCATTGTTCTGTATTTTTAGGTTCATAAACTCAGCTGCAAGCATATCAACAAGGGACATACAGATTATAAGATACCGGTCAATGCAGCATCAGCTGGTATCTTAATCTAAGGGTGGGGTGGGGGAGATCTGTTAGTGGCGATGATGGTAGGGGTGGCGGGGTGTGGAGAAGACAGTGGCTGCTTCATTTTAATTTTTTTTTTTTGTTTTTTGTAATTTTATTATTTTTTTTATGAGCTATAATTTTATATTTTAGGGTGGTGGTGCTGTGGAAAATCTTAAATTTTTTTTTTTTTTTTGGCACACATGGCAATTAAGTGATATGCATTTCAGCAAAATTTTGGGTCCCATTCATGCCACGTTGGCAACTTTAACAGAGTTATTGACTGACTTGACAGTGAGGGGTAAATTGAGAAGCAAAACACCAGTCATGGGGCAAAGTGGGTCATTTTAACTTTCAGGGAGTAAAGTACACCGGTCATGGGGCAAAGTGGGTCATTTTAACTTTCAGGGAGTAAAGTACACCGGTCATGGGGCAAAGTGGGTCATTTTAACTTTCAGGGAGTAAAGTACACCGGTCATGGGGCAAAGTGGGTCATTTTAACTTTCAGGGAGTAAAGTGAGATTTGACTATAATTTCAAGGGCACTACAATAAATAAGCCATTTGTTTATGCTATTGTGATTTTGATTTGCTGTTTTAATTTCTATTTTTATATTTGATTTCATATTCGATTGGGTTAGTGAGGTACCAGTGTCATTCTTTCAGCCTAATATTCTTTTTGCGTTGTTATTATTATTTTTTTTTTGGGGGTTAAAGTGTAAGGATATGGCTGCTAAGTTCTGTAGGCTATAAAGGTGAAGCCAACTGCAGTAAGGGAGGCCTACAAGACAGGTAAAACTTTAACTTGGTTTCTGATCAAGTGATCTGTGATATTGAATAATATATTGACATGTTATTGAATGAGATATTGGGTTTGCTCTGTTTTGGTTTCTGTCTCCATTCTATTTTGGTTTTTTGTTTATAGTAATTTGGTTTCTGTTTTGGTGGTGATTTCTTGATAGGCTTGAGATGAAGTATGAACTCAGATGAAAGAGAGATTGTTGTTTTCGATTGCTTGTCCTAGTAAAGTTTTCCATGAATTAATGTTTCAATTTTTCTATTAGAATTCATCAATTAATGTGTCAATTCTTTTGGTATCTAAAATCTAAACCATAATATTGTGGGGTATCTGCCTATAGACAGTGAGTAAAGTTTTTATAAACAAAGACTCATATTTTAATTTTCCAAAACCTTATTGTTACTTTGTGCCATTTTCTGGATCCAAAACATTTTATATTTTAATAGTTTTCTTACATGCTATTTTGGTACCGCATGAGGATAGTCAATCTGGGCTATGCCTTAGTGAATTTCACTAGTGTTGTTGCTGCCTCAAGATTCCACGAGAAAAAGTGGGAGGAAGTGGACAATAACAATAAGACTCGTGAAATAACCTGTGCTTCTCCAGGTTAAGTTTCTAATTTTCAATTTGTTTTCCTATCAATTTTTGTTTTTGGAACAGCTTTTGACTTTTCTAAGAATATAGATGATGAGTGATTTTATTTTGGGTCATCTGATGTGGTTTTGAGATTGGTGTCGTATGGATGATTTTGGTTACTGTTAACGTAACTAAATGGGTATTTATTTTTTCATAGCAAAAATAGGTTTTGAATTTTGATGCTTGTGTTGAGTACTGAGTTTGGTTTTATGAACACTGGAGGCATACATTGTATTCAGTATGAACTGAGATGAAAGAGAGATTAGGGTACAATTCGTGCCACTAAGTTTATTTGTATTATAATAGCACAACACACTGTAGTAGGCACATTCACATAACTATAATAAGAAAAGCATTAAGAAAATGGAATTTTTCTTATGTTTTTCAATGGATTGGTAGTTAAGTTGCATCTTGACCTTAAGTTTGTTTGCAGCTTGATCTTGAAGGTGATTTCTTGTATTTTCTGGCGGATGCTGCTGTTATAGTTTTAAATATTACTTCTTTCTTAGTTTTATCACTCAATTTTCAGTTCCTCAAGTTAGTGATTATTATTTGTTTGAACATTTGCAGTTTCAATATGGAAATCCAGATAAGTTATATGCTCCCCTCTTCTGTTTTTTTGTTTCTTGTTTCCTCTTGCAAAAGGAAAGGGCATAAAAGATTAGAAATATATCTCTTACTAAAACTTGCTTCTTCTTTTTATTATTTATTATTTATTATTTATTATTTTTTAATATTGGTTTTGCAGTGCAAGAAAGCAGCGCTAACTCATACACATAAGAACAAATTGATGAAATTCGGATCGAATGGGCAGCATTTATGAGCAATCACATGTAGCTCCTCTATTTCTAATTATAGTTTAATGCTATGGATATGGTATTTTGTATGGATATAGTAGGAATTAAGATTGGTAAACTATGTAATTACTTTTGAATCTTCAAGTTTTATGAAAGAAACAATTTTTTAGTATATATTTGTATGGTGTGGGTAATAGCAGATTGGACCTGAATTTATTGAGAAACATATCATAACATTGCATTAAGAGATAAGCATAACATCATTAGTGAGAATGGGAGACAACCATTCAGGTCCATCTTCTATCCAAACTATAAGGTCCGAAATAGAAAATGCAAACCATGCAAGGCTATGAGCCGCGCAATCACAAGTACGAGGTCGAAACTTACCAAAACAACTATGAAATGAATTAGCCAAAACATGAATTTCATTTATTAAGACTCCTTCGTAGCCCAAATCTGCATCACATTGGAAAGCCATCCGTATTGCTGCTTGTGCATCTGACTCTAGGTATATATTTTTCAACCCCAAGTCCATTGCAAGTTGTAGGTCAAATCTGATTGCGAATAATTCAGTAACATTGGACGTAAACATGCCACACACTGGTTTGGCTGCTGCTGCAATCAACTCTCCACGGTCATCTCTAATAACAACTCCCAGCCCTCTAACACTATCATCTGTCTTTAGAGCCCCGTCCACATTCATTTTAAAAAACTGAGCAAGAGGCCTCTCCCAATTCACCACCAGGTTACTTCCTTCTTGAGTCGAGCATAAAGACGTGCAATTCGCATGATAGAATTCTTCTGCCATTTCCTGCATGTGTTGGTAACTTT